TGGGTGCTACAGCTATATGACAGAAAATTGTCTGTGCAGGTCCACGTCTTCGTATAGCCCCTATATATAGATACCCTCCGATATTCGATATTTTCATGATTTTAGCGAAATTATTTACCGGAATTGTATCAAATTTGGTATTTGAAGTTCGTCGTCGTATGGTCCCTAAGATAACGGTATTTTTAAGATTTTAATAGAATTGGTTAACGGATTTATTATTATTATTATTATTATTATTATTATTATTATTATTATTATTATTATTATTATTATTAGTATTATTATTATTATTATTATTATTAGTATTATTATTATTATTATTATTATTATTATTATTATTATTATTATTATTATTATTATTATTATTATTATTATTATTATTATTATTATTATTATTATTATTATTATTATTATATTATTATTATTATTTTATTATTATTATATTATTATTATTATTATTATTATTATTATTATTATTATTATATTATTATTATTATTAGTATTATTATTATTATTATTATTAGATTATTATTAGTAGTATTCTTATTATTTTAATTATTATTATTATGATTTTATTATTATTTATTATTATTATTATTATTAGTATTATTATTATTATTATTATTATTATTATTATTATTATTATTATTATTATTATTATTATTATATATATTATTAGTATTATGATTAATTAGTATTTATATTATGATTATTATTAGTATTATTGGATATTATTATTATTATTATTATATTATTAGTATTATTATTATTATTATTATTATTATTATTATTATTATTATTATTAGTATTATTATTATTATTATTATTATTATTATTATATATATTATATTATTAGTATATTATTATAATTTTTTTTTTAAGAATTATAAATGTTCTTATTTTCTCTTCCCAATTTTCATTTAAAATAGCTACCGAAACTTATCCAAAGGCCCTTCTTTTCTTTTTAAAATCCAACAAAAAATACTGTCATCGCCACAAGTCATGCAATTCCAGACCTCTTTTCCGGTGGGCCGTTTACTTTTTCCAACATCCGCCTGAAACAAAAATAAAAAAAAAAAAAAAAACAAAAAAGCAGCCACTTAAACTATTCTCCTTATCATCATTAGAAACTTTTCAGCTACCAGCCAACCGCACATATTCGATTTCCAATCTTCATTTTAATATTATCATCTTACATTGTTGTAATACAATGCCATTCATAAATTTTCATGGGAATAGCAAATTTATGCGGCGATTATTCTGCAAGAGGCCAGACGGGCAGGCAGGCAGATGATCCTCTAACTAACCAGTAAAAAAAAAAAAAACTACAAATAAAAACAAAAAAACTTGGAAGTCCAGACCAAAAAAAAGTACATTGTTTCGAATTTATAACTTCATAAATGCAGACAGTCGTCGTCGATGTCGGTGTCGGCAAAAAAACACATATCGACTTAACAGTCATGCAATGCCATGCCATGGAGTGGCGGCAATGCCTGGCAAAATCTATATGAAATTATCATAAAAAATAATATGCATCATAAATTGGCATATAGCTAAAAACTAGAGACAACAGCAACAATAATAACAAATAAATAAACTAAAATAAAAAAAAAAACTATTTTTACATTGACATATTTACAGTGGAACCTGTCATAGGGGGACTGCTTTAAAAATGGCGCCCAAGGAGAGGAAGACGTCTAAAAAGACACTAAGGAAATTTGGATTGGTTTTCTCTATAGAAAATATAGCAACCTACCATATAACCATCCATGAAAGGTTCCACTGTAAGGTAGCCATACACATAATCTCCAGACTCCGAATGCACGATGGGTTGCCACAAATAGACCCCTCTAAACGCATCCCAGCTCATTTAAAGCTAAATATACATACAATAAAATAGAACTCTTACTAACTAGGCTATAGCTGCAGACTACATCTAAAGGCACACAATCTTACATACATACATACTTATAACTAAATTTATTCGTACTTTAGAAGACAAAAAATAAACTCAATAGCAGCATTGCAGATCCAATCGTAAACGACGACTTAAAACCATAAAAAATATTGTAAAATAAAAAAATTATCACATTTCAATACAAATCATCAGCATCATCATCGACATTATCATTGTAACAACAATAATCATAATTTCTCAATTACTATAATTGTACAACAACAAGAACAACATAAGGCTACAGTAATAATAAAAAAACAAGAACAACAACAATAACAATCCAACATGGAGATATAAATAACAGCATCAACATTGGCATCAGCCTCAACAATAAAAAGGAACCCATTCATTGAGGTTGGGACAAGCAAAAAAAAATGGCAGATCGATTTTTGACAATGACAATTGGAGCACAGGGCTACAGGATGGGGTTCCGGTCCGTATGCGGCTCCGCAAATTATAAATTTCTAATTTATTTTTCGGAAGAAATTTTAATGTGGAAGGCCTCACCCATATCTAAAATAAGGGATTAAAAGGGTCTTCCTATCCGACAAAGGGTCCAATACAACGAAAACCCTTAAAAAGTTTCCCACTTCAAATAGAAGGCTTTAAAAAGATTTCCAATTCAAAGGATGGACTCGGTGGGGCCTTCATTTCAATAGCAGGGCTTTAAAGAGTCTCAAATCGATAGAAGCCTTCTTTTAAAATAAAGGACATTTAAGGGGTTTTTCTAGAATTGGAAGTCCTTTAAGGGTCTGAATTAGATTGGTTTTATATAGTTTTATGTTTAAGAAATATGGAAGGCTTCTAAAGGTTTTTCAAAAAGGGGAGCTTTCTATCCGAAATAAATAAAGGCTTCACCCATATCTAAAAAAAGGGATTTAAAGGGTCTTCCTGTCCGACAAAGGTTTCAATGCAACAGAAACCCTTTAAAAGGATCCCAATTCAAATAGAAGGCTTTAAAAAGACTTCAAATTCAAAGGATGGACTCGATGGGGCCTTCGTTTCAATAGCATGTCTTTAGAGTGCCTCATATCAATATAAGTCTTCTGCTAATATAAAGGACATTTAAAGGTTTTTTTCTCTTTCAGAATAAATTTTAAGAAATATGAAGGGCTTCTAAAGGGTTTCCAAATCTTAAATAAGGAATTTAAAGGGTCTTCTTCTCCGACAAAGGGTCCAATATAACAGAAACCCTTTAAAAGGGTCCTAATTCAAATAGAAGGTCATAAAAAGATATCCAATTCAGAGGATAGACTCGATAGAGCCTTCATTTCAATAGCAGGTCTTTAAAGTGTCTCATATCGATATAAGCCTTTTGTTAAAATAAAGGACATTTAAAGTTGTTTTTTTTTCTTGGAATTCGAAGTCCTTAAAGGGTCTGACTTTGAATTGGACTCGTAGAAGGACATAAACTTATATTGAAAGCAAAATGCCCTCCAAAGGTCTTCTATTAAAAATGGATTTTTTTCTATTCTTTCTAGAGGCCCTTCAAAGGACTGCAATTGAAAACAGAAGTCATTCAGAGGTCTTCACCTCTGGCATTCTTCCACCCGGACAAAGCATTCTAATGAAAAAAATGAAAACCTTAAACAGTCTTCTATTAAAAATCTAAGCACTTCGGAGGACCTCTACTTTTAATCGTAGGTCTTTTAAGGACTCTTTTAAGGTCTGCAATTGAAAACAGATGTCGTTCAGAGGTCTTTACCTCTGTCATTCTTCCACCCGCCATAGCATTCTAATCAAAAAATTAAAACGTTCAAGAGTCTTCTATTAAAAATGCAAACACTTCTGGATGGCCTCACCTTTTAATCGTAGGCCGTTTGAGGACTCTTTTAAGGTCTGCAATTGAAAATAGAGGTCTTCACCTCTGGCATTCTTCCACCCGGCCAAAGCATTCTAACGAAAAAAATGAAGTCCTTAAAGAGTATTCTATTTAAAACGGAAGTACTTCTGGAGGACCTCTACTTTCAATCGTAGGCCTTTTAAGGGCTCTTTTAAGGACTGCAATTGAAAACAGATGTCGTTCAGAGGTCTTCACCTCTGGCATTAAAAATGGAAGGATTTCTGGAGGACATTTACTTTTAATCGTAGACCATTAAAGGACTCTTTTAAGGCCTGCAATTGAAAACAGAAGTCGTTCAGTGATCTTAACCTCTGACATTCTTCCAACCGGCCAAATCATTCTAATGAAAAAAATGAAGACTTTAAAAAGTCTTCTATTAAAAATGGAAGGATTTCTGGAGGAGGACGTTTAAAGGTGTCTAAATTCGATATAATAGGTTTCATTTTTAAGAGAAGGTCATTGCAGGTCATATATTTTTAAAATAAAAACCATATACAAATCTTATTTGAAAAGGCCCTGTAGAGGTCTTCTATAGAACAGAGAGCTCAAATTACGACATTAATCGTAAACTTTAAAAGGATTTTCAATCCAATTGAAGGAAGTGATAGGTCTTTTATTTCAATAGCAGGTCTTTAAAGTGTCTCATATTGATATAAGGCCTAAAAGAGAGGTTTCAACGCTTAAATTCATTAGAAGTAATTAAGGACGCTCCATTCCAATTTAAGATCTAAAAATGGATTCAGTTCAATTACAATCCTTGCAAGAGCTTCCGTAGAAGAATTTATAGGAATTATAATTTAATTGAAGCATTCTAAGGCAGTTAAAAGGGTTCGAATTCAATACAACGCTTTCAAGAGGCTTCTACTACTTTAAAAGTAATTTAATGGGCTCCATTTTAATTGAAGGTCTAAAAATTGCTCCGTTTCGTAGAAAACCTTTAAAGGACTTCCATTTTAAGAGCTTTCTATCGAACCGAAAGCCCTTAAAGGACCTCGTATCAAATAAAATTATTTTAAAAGTTCCAATATAATAGAAGTTCTTTAGGGGACCTATAGTTCGATAGAAGGCGTTTAAAAAACTCCTTATTAATAGAAGGCTTTTAAAGGACTTCCGTGTCAAAAAATGATCCACATCAAAATAGGGACAAAGGACTCTACCCGTCAAAAAAAGGACTCTAAATCAAAATAAATATTTAGAAGGTACAATAGAAAGCTTTAAAGGGCTTTTTCTGTCAAAAAAAAGCCCTTCGGAGGACTTCAATTCAGATTAAGACCTTTAAGAAGCTCTGATTCGATTTAAAGCTTTTGAAACAGGTTTTAGGGGTTTCAAATGTAAAAGAAGGCATTTAAAGTGCTTGCTATTCATAACTATCCTTCAGAAAGCATGGCCCTTAAAGAAGACCTTTGAATGGATTCCAAATTATTATGAGTTCTTTATAGATCATTCCATTCAGAAGACCTTTGTTCAAGCACCATAGAGGCAGCCTCTAAAGTGACTTCGATTCATTTGGCCATTTAAAGGCTCTACATCAATAAAAAGGCTTTTAAGAGCCTATATCTTTAAAACAAGACTACTGAGATCGTACATTTTCAGAAAAAGGCCTTTGAGAGGACCATGTGTCTTGGAAGATTTTCCTGCCATGAAAATTAAACAAGAAGCTATTGAAATGGGAGCCATTGAAAAAGCCCCTCATAGCCCCCATTATAAATAGAACCACTTAAAGGGTCTTCTATTGAAATTGGATCAGTTCAAAGTTCTGCTATTGAAAATAACTTCTATAAAAGCAGAGGCCTCTCCCTAGAAATTAAATTGAAATAAATAGAAGGCCTCAAAGGCATTCAAAAGGATACGACTTCAATACAAGGCCTTCAAAGAGATTTTATTTCTATAAAACTAGTTTTTTTTTCAATAAAAGGCCTCAAAATGCTTCCATTTCAATTATAAGCCTTTACAGGGTTTTCGATTTCGTAAAAGTCCTTTAAAGGACTTCCAATTTATTATGAATTTTTTTATACTTTGATGAACTTCAACAGAAAGGATCTCCTATGAAAGCAATGTCTTAAAAAGGACTCCAACACAAAACAAAACCAGAAAAAACCTTCACTTTAATAGAAGGTCCTGAAGGGAAGAACTTTAGGACCATTTAAAAAATTATACTTTGGGGGCGTTCATATGAATAGAAGAGCTTTGAAGATCATCCATGGTTGAAGGTCTTTAAAGTGCCCCTTCATCAACAAAAGAACTTTAAAGGGCTTCCATTCAAGACCCTTCAAGTATTCTAAGGGTCTGCAAATCAAAATATGATCTTTAAAGGGTCTCCATATAAATTAATGGCCGTTAGAGGGTTCCAACATAAAAGATATCCAATTAAGGACATTCATTTCAACGGAAAGTCTTTAAAAGGCCTCTATATCAGAAAAAAGTATCTTAAAGGACTTCAATTCATTTTAAGGTCCCTAGGGGGCTGTGATACTATAGAGGCCCTTCAAAGGTATATCAAGGACCTGCAAGGGTTTTCAATTTAAGCGATTACTTTTATATGCCTCCATACAGTCCCTTGGACAGCTCTAGTTCCATCAAATAAAAGCCTTTCGAACTAGACCTGAGCTTAGAACATAAGAAACATCTGAGAGGTCTTCTAATGGACTTCTATTGAAAAGGTTTTCCATAAAAACAAAATATACTCCCATATATAGAGGGCCTTCAAGGCCTATTGAAAACAGACATCCTTTGGAGTCCTAGTTATGCCAGCTATTGAAAACATTTTTTTTCGATAAGGACCTGAATGTATTCTGTGTAAATAAATGGAGATCTCTTAAGGGTAATTTGTAAAAGCTTTTAAAAGCCCTCTATTGCAAATATAAGCCTCTTAAGGGGCCTCTTTTTTACATAAAAGCTCTTTCAAAACATTTTATTTCAAAATAGAGCACATCAAAAGTTCATTTATTAAATATGAGCTTTTTAAAAGCGATCTCTTGAAAATAGAAGCCCGTCAACGATGTCTGGTTTCTGAGGGAGACCTACTTCTAGTAAAAAGCTCTTCAGACTGCTATTGAAAATTAACGCTTTTTATGTGTACACAAATGGGAGACTATTAAGGTTAATTTGTAAAAGCATTTTAAAAGCTCTTTATTTAGAATAGAAGGCCGTCGAAGCCACCTGGTTCCTGAGATCCCCTCTTTAGGTATTTTTGAAAGGAAGGAGTTCTTTTTATGACTGCTATCGAAAATTAAAGCTTTTCTCCTTTTTTCTGTGCACACAAGATGAAGACTCTTAAGGGTAATTTGTAAAAGCATTTTAAAAGCCCTCTATTGAAAATAGAAGCCCATCGGAGCCGCCTGGTGCCTGAGATTCCCTCCTGTAGCCCTGTGTAGCTAACTGTATGAATTATACCGATCACTTCACCATGCTGGTATCTAGTGCTGATGTTGTTATGATGTACCCGATTTCCAGATGGATTCATTCGATGCTATTAAATGCTCTCTGGCTGATGTTAACGTCACCAGCTCTTCTTCGGTCACTGTGGTGGCTAATGATGCGACTGCATCCAGGGCAGCGGCGGTGGATGTGGTCGAGAGACCTGGCAGTGTTGAGGCTGCTGAAATTTGATCACTGTAAAGTTGTTGTTTAAGCTGCTGTTGTTGTTGTTGTGGTGGTTTTGGTTCATGACTCAGCGTATGCTGCTGCTGCTGCTGCGACGGTTGAAAGCTCACCGTACTCGAGCCAACATGTTGGTGGTGTTTCAGCGAGGCTTTCAGCTTGTTCGATGTTTGATGCAAACATGACTGTTTGTTGATGTGATGCTGCTGCTGTTGCTGCTGATGATGATGGTGATGAGGACTTATGGCCGAGGATGCCGACGAGGAGGTATAGTAGCTGAGAAATCTACCCACATAGATGGCCGTAAGTGTGGCATAGATAATACCCATTACCGCACCGGCCATCACATCCGACCAGTGGTGCCAGTAGTCGGCCACACGACTCAACGATATAAACCAGGCCAGCGATAGAAACAGAAACTGCAACAAATGACGCAAGACACGATTCACACCACGACCACCCCGCCAGATGGCGTGCAGATAAAAGGCCAAAAACAGCATGGCATAGAAGGACAGCGACGAATGGGCACTGGGGAATGACACATACAGTTCGCGCAATTGACGAGCGGATAAATTGCGATTCGAACAATAGTATTGTTCGACAAATAGATTGCGATTCTTGGGATCGTCACACGTGGAGCCATCGTTCAGCTGGGGCCGGCAGGCCATATAGAAGTGGGGCCGCAAACGTCGCACCACATTTTTGGCCAACTCTGTGCTCAGGTAGGTGGCAATAAAACCAAAGCTAAAACAACCCAAACTAAGGCTGGTGTTTCGCAGATATTGCCTTAAACGGAAGTTATGACAGAGGCGCATTATCTCCACCACGCCGAGGAACAGCATGGGCAACAGTAGCATGCACACGAGCAGCATGGGCACGGTAATGGTGCACTCATGGTAGGGATACCTAATGCTGAGGTCACCACAAAAGAAACCGCGCTGATATGTCAGCATAGTTATGGCCAAGTTAGATGGATAGATAGCCTTCGTTGTAGATCTGTGTTGTGGGCCAAAATGGAATACATTCACTCGGGTTACAATGGATATGTTTTGGCTAGAGATTGGTTGCACACACACACACACACACGTCGTGGCTCTCTGGTCGGGCCACACACACACACAATACTTTCAAATACTTTGTAAATATTTGAATTCTTGTTCGTGTTGTTGTTGTTGTTTTTTGTTGCTGCCAATTGTTTGTGATTTTTTGCAGAATTTTCTTGAGTATGCTTTGTAGTTGCTTCGACTGGACACTTGACTGTCATTCACCTTTATTTGTTTTCCATGGAAAATTGCAAAAATTTGTTTTAGTTTTTTTATTTTTTTCTTTCTCCTTTTTTTAAATAGTTCTTTCCTCAATGCGTTTTGGTCTCCTTAGGCAGATGCCTTCTGCCGCTTAACAAAGCTGTAAACAGAAATAGATATTGATGATGAAAGATGTACGTTTTTTAACCTTTAAGACCTGGACATATACAGTGGCAAGCAAAAGTGTGAGATGGAAGCATAGTGGAAAATTTTGAAATTTTCGACATTAACATAAAACGTCGGAAAATGTTCAGTAGACAAAAATTAGTAAAAAAATGTTAAAAGTTTTTCGAAAAAAAAATGTATTTTTTCCTTAGACCCTCAAAAGCTGTGATTTTTTTCTATAGAAAACATAGAGGTTCTAAAAAAAAATTTAAGGCTTGAAAACATTTGATAGCAGATATTGCTGCTGAGAGCTGAAAGATTTTTTCAATTTTATTTCTAACAGAAAAAGTTGTATGAAAAGTTGATTTTTGAGCTTTTCTCAATTGAAGCAACTGAATGCTAAGAGGTTTCTTATACAGAAAAAATTGAAGATGAAAGCTTTTTTTAGTAAAAATCTAAGCTCGGTCATTTTATAGAAAAATTAAAACCCAATTTCTCACAGAAATGTGAGTAGAGATTTTTTCAAAAAAAAAGCTTTTTCGGTAGTTCAGAAATGAAGCGATTTTTTATAAAACAAACAGGCTCAGCATCTTTCCATGGAGAGCTTGAGAGCTTTATCTACCGAAGATACTCGAAGCTGGCTAGCCGAGAATACTTTGGTATTCAAATCAAAAAATCTACGCTCTGTAGCCGAAAGCCTTTTACAGGGTGAGATGAAAAAACTGCAATCAATTTCAGACTGCTGTCATTTCAAAGCCACAGGTGTTCAAAGTCCGACAGCTGTTAAAATTATTCCAGTGACAGTTCATTATATTGTTTACAAGCGTTCAAAAGCATTTTGGTGAGAATTTTTCAGAAAAAAAGTTATTCCAGATGGAATTCAAGCGTGATAGTCTGATTTCTTTATATTTGGCTGGAGAACCACAAGTGGCTATCGTTAGAGCACTCCAGCATTTAAATGTGAACAAATCTTTTGTGTCCCGTACCATCGCTCGTTACCGTGATACTGGTAGCGTAGCCCGACTTCAAGGAAGTGGACGGAAGAAAAAAAGCAACATCAGCAGAAATGGTTCGAAAAGTGAAGAAGCGACTTGATCGAAACCCGCGTCGCATTGGCCGAAAAAATGGCTCGTGAGCTGAACATATCGCATTATTCCATTCGGCAAATATTGACAAATGAGCTCGGGGTAAAGCCACTGGGATTCCAAAAGTACAAGAACTTACACCGCTACAGAAAGAAACCAGTAAAGAAAGTCTTAAAGTCGGGCGGGGCCGACTTTATGATACCCTACACCACTTTGCTAATTTAGTAGTGCTCCACATAACAATTAAAAGTTTTTATGGGAGAATTCAATCATACACGCTATGATTATAGTTATAATTTAAAGTTCAAAGGACTAAACATGCCGAAGCATTTGTATCTTTTAAATTCGGACTTGTATTGACCATTTGGTGCACAATTAATTTGAAATCGGATAAATATATATATATGGGAGCTATATCCAAATCTGAACCGATCTCGATAAAATTTGGCAAAGATATTTCTGAGCTGTATCTGATATATTTCCCTGAATATCGTTGTTACGGAGTGCATATTACGGTTGTGGGTAACAAATATAACAAATCGAATGAATAATATATATGGAGGCTATAGCTATATCTCAACCGATCTTCACCAAATTTGACATACTAGCTTCTAGACTCAATTCGGTCGTATGTGCCAAATTCCATTCCATTTGCACAAATATTAGACGTTTGGTGCACAATAAAAGGGAAATCGGCCGAAGTTATATATGGGAACTATATCCAAATCTGAACCGATCTCGATAAAATTTTGCAAATGTATTTCTAAGCTGTATTTGATATATTTCCCTAAATATTGTTGTTGCATAGTGCATATTACGGCGGCGGTGGACAAAAATAACAAATCGGTTGAACAATATATATGGGAGCTATAGCTATATCTGAACCGATTTCGATCAAATTTGGCATACATATTTTCAGGCCTAATTTGGTTGTATGTGCAAAATTCCATACAATTCGGGCTGATATTACACGTTTGGTGCACAATAAAAGGCAAATCGGACGAAGATATATATGGGAGCTATATCTAAATTTTGACCGATTATCTCCAATTTCAATAGGGTTCGTCCTTGGGCCAAACAAATGATCTGTGCAAAATTTCATCTGTATCGGGCAATAAATGCGACTTGTACTTTGTTTACAAAAATACATGGACAGACGGACGGACGGACATGCATAAATCGACTCAGAATGTGATTCTATGCAGATCATCAAAAGGAACTATGGGTCTATCTCGTTTCCTTTTGCCTGTTACAAACAAATGCACAAAGACATAATACCCTGACCACCTTGTGGTGTAGGGTATAAATAGACTCAAAAGAGCTAAAGAGTAGCTTCGCTTGGCCGAAAGTGAACAAACAAAATGATCGTGTTTACTTGCCAAAGAGGTCAGCTGAAAATGTGCACCTTCGGTTGGCCACCAGAACTCAAGCGCCGGCCATGGTGATGGTGTGGGCCGCCACAACAGCCGATAGCCGCTCTTCGCTCGTATAAATCGACCATGGCATCAGAATAAATGCCGAATATTATCGCGAGAACATTCTGGAGGGTGTATTAAAGCCTTGGGCACGCAACATTTTGGCCACAGACCTTGGACATTCCAAGAGGACTCAGCACTATCGCACTCAGCACGCGCCACCCAAGAATGGTTACAACATGAGGTTCCTCCCTTCATTTCGCACAATGGCCACCAAAATCTCTGGATACCAATCCGTTGGACTATTGTGTCTGGAGTATTTTGGAAAGCAAGGTTGACACTAAAAAATACCAAAGTGTCGATCACCTCAAGCAAGCGCTTCGCCGGAATGGGCCAAAATACCGCAGAGCAACATTCGGGCAGCGTGTGACAGTTTCATTGGCCGTTTGAAGGCCATAATTCGTGGCAAAGGTGACCAATTCGAACAAATCTCTACTAAAATCTATCTCTTCTATAATCTGATGCTATTTCCGACATTTTTTGCTTTCATTCAATAAAACTGAAAAAAAAAATTAAAAATTGTGGCGTTTGACTTTTTTGTAGTTTTTTATCTCACCATGTATGTTTTATCCGATTTCGGTTTTTTGTGCACCAAATGGCAAATATCAGCCCAAATTTTGGCATTTTCGATGGAATTCAGCCCCAAAAGCATGTACTTCAAATTTACTTCAAATCACATGCGAAATATGCACTCCACAACAAAAACATTTGATACCGGACATCAGATACTGCTCGAAAATAATTCTGGCAAATTTTATCGAGATCGGTTAAGAAATTCGTATAGCTTCGATATGCATCTTCATCCGATTTTACTGTTATTTCTCATCATATATGTAATAGCAGCCCAAATTGAATAGATTGATAAAATTTCGCTCAAATGTATGTTATGTCTGCAGGATTTTTGGTATTGAAAATGGGCCATGTAGGTCCACGTTTTGGTATAGCCCCTATATAACGGTACCTCCCAATATTCGGTATTTTGATGATTTTAGCGACATTATTCACCTGATTTTTTTCAAATTCCGTATTTGAAGTTCGTAATAGATACTGCAGCCTAAGACAGAAAATTGTCTGTACAGGTCCACGTATTCGTATAGCCCCCATTTAACGGTACCTCCCTATATTCGGTGTTTTAATGATTTTAGCAACACTATTCACCGTAACTGCTTCAAATTTGATAATTGAAGTTCGTAGTGAATGCTACAGCCTATGAAAGAAAATTGTCTGTGCAGATACACGTCTTCGTATAGCCCCAAAATAGCGGGACCTCCCGATATTCGGTATTTTGATGATTTTAGCGACATTATTTATCGGTATTGTTTTAAATTCAGTATTTGAAGTTCGTAATGGATGCTACAGCCAGAGACAGAAAATTGTCCGTGCAGGTCCACGACTTCGTAAGGCCCCAATATAACGGCACCTCCCGATATTCGGTATTTTGATGATTTTAGCGACATTATTCATCGGAATTGTTTTAAATTCAGTATTTGAAGTTCGTAATAGACACTACAGCCTGAGACAGAGAATTGTCTGTGCAGGTCCACGTCTTCGCAGAGCCCCCATATAACAGTACCTCCCGATATCCGGTATTTTCATGATTTTAGCGACACTATTCACCGGAATTGTTTCAAATTTGGCATTTGAAGTTCGCAAAGGACACTACATCCTATGACAGAAAATTGTCTGTGCAGGTCCACGTCTTCGTATAGCCCCCATATAACGGTAGCTCCCGATATTCGGTATTTTGATGATTTTAGCTACATTATTCCCCGGATTTTTTTTCCAAATTTCGCCTTTGAATATTGTAATGGCTTATGACAAAAGTTGCCTATGCAGGTCCACGTCGTCGTATAGACGCTAATATAACGGCTACATTCGGTATTTTTAAGATTTTAAAGATTTTTTTTTTTTGTTTGAAAATTACCAAATTCGTTCCTAATAATGGAGGGTATTCAAAGTTCGCCCCGGTCGAACTTACAACTTTTTTACTTCATTTTTAATTTTTATCGAAGTCATATTATGCACTATATAGTAATGTCATAGCCTCCATCAAATTTATTGCAAATCTACTCAGTGTTGGAAATAGTTCCCAAATTGTGACTACTCTTAAATCAGCATTCGAATAAGGTTCATAGTTGGTATGATCTACTTCACATAAATTCCCCATATAATTTTTTTTGTTACGGGAACTCTTAAAAATACACATATGGGTGTAATCTATCATATAGCCGGCCCGCCTGACTTCTGACATTTCCTACCGGATTTTTGAATTTTTTTTTTATTTTTATTTTTTTTTAATATTTTTTTTTTTTTTTGGGCCGTTGTTATGTTTGCTAGTCAAAAATCTAGGCCGATATGACCCATACGCACCCTTAAGCCAAAAAAAGCGCACATTGCTGAGACTACTCGAAATGTTCTGAAGCGAATTTTTTTAA